CAAGATGTCAATTCAATAAAAAGTTTTATCAATATTGGTCTACAATTGTCGAGCAAGATCCAGAGTTTAAAAAATATAGATTAAAAATCAAACTTAATACTAAACATTGTTATTCATCGAATACTCTCTTGGCTCGATCGAATAATACATATCTATGAAGTGAGAGTAGTCAATTTTAAATATTTATTTCTTTATATTTCTATACATTTAGATATTTCTAATGCTTGATTTTTAGTCATCTATTGCAATTTATACATGTCATTTTATTCTTCTTTTTTTTTCTGCATGTGTCTTATTTTTATGTTCTTAGTATAGTTAAACTTTTTTGTCAATAATATATTACTATAAAATTTTAATACATTCTGAACTATTACTCCTGTTGTCTTACTCACTTTAAAAAATTCATTATTATGATCACTAAAGCGATTGTTTTTTTATTGTTGTATTTCTTCTAGTTACTTTTTTCTTTAGATGATATGAGAAAATGTTGTTTTCTATCTCATATATTCACTATGTTTCTTACTTTATATAGTAATGTACTAAAAATTTTTCGCTCTACATATTTTGTATTAGTTTAGCGAGGCTAGAAAACATACTTAAGTTCCACATCTCAGCTTTATTGAGGCTTCGCTAATAAGTTTTTTTTCTTAGATAGTAATATTGATAATATACACTATAATAAAGGTTCAAACAAAATGTCAAGTTCAAATGCTCAAGCCGGTTGGTATGAACTGCCTTCACAAACACAAATATTCATTGGACAAAAACAAAACTTTGAGAATAACAAGAAGGAACTAAAGAAGAAGAAAAAATCCCGTGGTAATCGGCGACTCCAACGCTATAGAAGGGAATTTCGAGCACGAGGAATGAACGATCACACCGTAAAAATGTTATTGACAATGCATCAAATCAATAATTCCATTCATCGAACTCATCGGGAAATAGACCACGATAAAATGATGGATGATTTTTTAGTCAGGAATGCTAATAAGGATATTCAAGTGTGCATGTTCTATGGAAATCAAGTACGATCAAATGATGAACAAAAAATAAATACGATGTTTTTCTTTTGTATAGAACCAAGGCAATAATTCATCACGTATAAGAACACATCAAAAAATGAAAAACCATTACGATTTACCTACAGATGATTGGAAATTGATATGCAAACTCTTACCAAATTATAAGATCTTGTCTTCTCATGAATTCAAACGTTTACTCTGCAAAACTATTCCAACGGATCATTATCAGATTCAACAATGGTTAGCAAGTACTGAAATTTTACAATTCTCACAACAACTTGCTATATTCATGTGTACTTCCTTTCAATTGAAAATCGAAGAGGACTATTGATACTGCATTGGCAATTTAAACATGCCTGTTGTAACTTGGTTATCAGAAGTATCGAAAGATGTAACAGAAAAAAATTTCATTCATTGGGATCATTCGAAAACAAAACTAAATATTCAATATCAACAAAATCTCATTCGAAATAAATTACAACGGTTAGAAATTAATTTATACAATTATTTACAACGATATTCATCAAATTTAAAAATGAACGATGATAAAATGTCTTTTGAACAATGGATGAAGATTATATGCAATGCTCTTGTTGTTCTCATGCAAAATGGTTTGCATCATTTCAATACAAATTTTGAACAGAAGAAAATCTTATTTACGTATAATATCAATGATGCAAATCTTGTCAAATCATTCTATGATTTAAATCCAATAGAAGAACAGGTGAATATATTGTTTAGCCTAACTTTCTCTTATTCTTCTTCTCATAGGTTTATTCTACTCAACAAATTTGGCGATCAAAATTAAGAGCATGTGAGAAGGTCATTAGTCAACAAAAGAAACGTTAGTCAAGAAGTAATCAAGTTATGGTTAAAGGAATAATTCCAGGTAATCATTGAATAACAAATATGAAACAAAATGAATTCGACAATGATGGTAATGATCAAAAGAATCAATTATCATCTATGAAATGCTTTTCTCAGTCAATGCACGCTATTATTCAAGCTCGTCTCGATAATATCGAACAACGTGCTCAACAAATTATAAAATTTATTCACGCTTCGTCTCAAGGATAACGATCTATTCCTTTCTTATAGATCTTACTGACTCTAGCATTCTCGATCGTTCATTTTAAGCAATATTGTAGAATTTAGTTCTATTGTAACACTTCATTCATTTCTTTTTTTGTGTCATGTTTCATAGTTTGTTTTTCGAGTCGTAAACAAATTTATCTTCTGATGTTTTGCTTTTGTTTTTTCTTCTAGATCTCACTTTCAGAATTCTATCTTTATTTTGTTGTCTCCCATTCAATTTCAAATGGCAATGACAACATCAAATCTCAATTCTACTAAAACTATTACCCGTCGTAGTACAGTTTCTGACGCAAAAGTAAGACAGAAGAATAACAAAGATCTTTCTATTCTATGAACAATGATTTTCTTCTTAGATAGTCAATGAACAAGTCCTATCACAAGAGCTTGGCCAGTTTTCACCTTTTAAAATCAATTCAACAAAAAAACAAATAATAACAAAATTTCATATAGAAATCATTCTTTCGAAAACAATTGGTAGTGAATGAAAATCTATACTCGACCATCTTTGTTCAAAAAATCCATCTTTTGAAAAGAAACTTCGAACCATTTTACCATCAACGATGAATTTAGATGAACTAAGAGATATTGCTATTCGTATGCATAAAATTATGTCGATTGACATAGTACAATCTCTCTGGATAGTCTATCGAAAATATGGTATGGAAGAAATACAATCCAAGCGACCAATCAATGTATCTGATACAAAATTTTGGCCAAAAGAAGTTTCATCACTCATGAAACAGTTAAAAAATGATAATATTATTGATGAAAGTAGTTGTTTAATTTTTGCCAATCAATGTTTACAAGAATTCTACAATAAAAAGGAACATTATCGACGCGAATTAAATGTCAAGACCACTCGTTCATCTGGTTATAACTGTAGCATGGAATATACTATTGAAAAATTTGTACAACAAGGACTTCAATCTTTACATATTGAAATCAATGAATATATTGCCACGGTTCAATATCATTATACCAATTTAATATTTCAACAAATTTATTTTGCTCAAAATCCTAATGCAAATCAAGTAAACTTCTTTTATATCGAGCTTATTTTATCTTACTATTTTAGATACAATCTTCGCTCTTAATCATATAAAAAAAGAAATTAGATAGGGAAAACAAAAACTTTTTTTCATTCATATCCTTCTCTCTTTCAGATAGAATCTTGACGCAAAAAACAAAAATATGATCAGTATAAAATACGAAAGAATAGCAAAAATTCAAAATATTTTCTACTGCATATGGATTTCAATACAATTGATTTAACTCGAGCAGAACAAGCTACTTCTTTGTTTATTAATAATGAACAACAAGAATATCAATCAAGAACATTATTAGATAAAAATAATGGACGATATGCTTATTTACCTATATTTCCAACACAATATGTTGGTCCAAATGAGTGTTTACTTTTGGCTAATGTATCAGGTTCGTATGTTCGATATAAATTGATTATAAATCATTTCATTTCATTGTCTTTTAGTTAGTCGTCTTGCACCTCATCAAATTAATCGACGTCAATATGGAGCCTATACTTTCGATGCACTGATGCTGATGAATAAATACAATTATTCCGATGAATTTAGTTTATCTGAACAAGATGCTAATGAATTAGCTTCACGATTACAAGTAGGCAAATCAATAGTTACTTTCAATGCACAACGACTTCGTAGCATCTGTCATACTCTTCTTGCATTCCATGAATCATTTCGACGACATGTTCTATGTAAGAGTGATGTTGCTCTAAAAGAACCAACACTCAATTCGAAACAAATGGCTATGGCATTGGAATTCTATTTACAAATCGATGGTTAGTCTTCATATCGATATATATGATGCATATATGTTTCATATTTTTTAGTCGATTTATTCTATATGAAAACTTGTTCGTTTCGAGGAGCTCAACCTCGATCTAATATAGAAGGTCTATTTTGTGGAAGAGATGAACCTCAAGCAAGATATTCATTGGTTCCATGTGATAATCTTTTTTGTCAATGTTGTCTTCCATTAAATACTTACAAGAAAAGTCAACCATGGCCAATTGTTAATTTTGCTTCAAGGTCAATGCATCGATTTCTCAATGGTTATACTACCTATCTTAATTGTTCAGCAGTATGTTGTCCTTAAATGTTGAATTTTATATCGATCGACTATGACTAAAATTTAGACATGTACTACATCGAATATAATTTATGCCATGACATGTCCATGTGGTCATTATGATTATATTGATTCAACAGCAAAAACATTGGCTGATGTTATGGCTTGTAAATATAAATTTGCTTACGATAATCATGAGCATGCCTTTATTTCTCTTCTTCTTTTGCCTAATGATATACAGATCATCGAGAATATGGCAATCGAATTATACATGAAAAATTAACTGGTAGTCCTCTATTTCGAGGATCACAAATCGATCCTAATGAAAGAGAGTAATAAATGACATTCGATCATTCTTTCGATTATGCTACACATATTCTTTGTTTTCTTTTTCATTCATTGTTGTAGAAAAGAAATGGCTAATCAAATGCGTCTCTATCAACATTCAGCTCGTTGTCCAGAAGCACTTCGTTCATTTCTTGATTGTAATCCTATGTATTGGTGTTTTATTCCTCTACCTTGGGATGAAGCAGTAACAGAAAATGTTGCTAATCGTCCAGGAAATTCTACTACAGATCCCAATCTGGATGCTGTGATAGCAACAACTGCCGTAGACAATCGTAGGGTGGCCAATTATCTAGATAAAGTACCATTACCCCCAGCTTCCTATGCCTTCTCATTTTGACAGCTAAAACAACAGCGTCTATTTTTCGAACGATTTGCTACGTCTTCCATTCATTACCGACCTTATATCAAATTAGATTTGTATAACATAGCAATTATTGCCGTTTGTAAGTAAATCTACCTTTATCAACCACATCATCATCATTCTCATCATTATTATTTATACCTGTTTTTCCTTCACATTGATTTAGTACCAGATGATTGTTCAATAATACTACGATACATCATCGAAACGTTATTCATTATTCATGGTGAAACTAAATTGAATATGATTTGTCCACTTGGTGGTGATGCTGAAAAACGTTACGGTCCTTCGTATAACCTACATTGGTGTGCTAATTTGAATAATTCATCAATGTAAACCACGACATCAACTCAGTGACCTTTTAAAACTACAATGGTCACTATCATAAAATAACATTTAATCAATATAAGCAACTTTATTTACCTCGTAGATATTAGTTAATCTTTAGTGTTTGTAATCTGTGAGCTAAATAGTTAACCTTAGATTAATAAAATACATTTGCGCACTTCTTCTAATATCATACTAATATACAAGTAACGTTCATCGGATTCCGATTCACTCGTCCCTAGACTGAAACACGATGACATGTGATATGACTAGATGTGAAGATGAGACTATCAAAGAGTACATCTCTGACCGAAATAAAAAAATGTGCTACAAGGAAAAAGCCGAGTGTTTTTGAATTTCGTAATTAAAAATCAATTAACAGTAAAATCAGTTTAAAGTTCAGCAGGTGGAATTACAAAGAACAGAAATATACAGGGTTGGAAATAATATTATTCCAGGGGGGGTGGAGGGGGGTAACGCTATAATTACGAATAGCAGCCATAATGAATTTTATACCAAATGAAAGCCCGTAAAAAATGAGGTTTCCTGATACGAAATTGTAAGGGTTTTCAAGATATTTTCATACAATACATCTTCAAAAGTTACTATAGTTTACCGATATGAAATATGAAAAAGTCTTCTAAATAGCTGCTTCCAGGTGGACCGAACAATAGGACGTAAAAGGATCGTCCTATTTCTCAATCGAATCCGCGTCTTATGATCGTTTAAACAAAGATCTTTTCGATTTTTCTACGGAAAATATCTGTTTTTCTTTGCTCTACAGTTCCCTGAAAATAGATTAGAACGAATGTATTCTACGAGATTGCGAAACTTTTGAAGGTTTATTATATGAAAATATCTTGAAAACCCTTACAATTTAGTATCAGGAAACCCCATTTTTTACGGGCTTTCATTTGGTATAAAATTCATTATGGTTGCTATTCGTAATTATAGCGTTACCCCTCCCCCCTGGAATAATATTATTTCCAACCCTGTAAATGTCTAAAAGTTGTAAAAAAAAAGAAATAATATTCATCGAATGAAGATTCACTTTATCGTATAGTGCAGATGGTTGAATATATTTGATTGACCGAAGAATTGGAGATTCTGAAACAAGAAATTTCGAAAGAACCAATTGTTAAGCTTTTGTAGTCGAAATTTTGGGCATCCATAGCATTCGCGAAAACTATCAAATCTCTCTACCGTTCATAGTTAGGATATCATTAACTGACAAACTGGAAAGCAATTTGGGTTTAAATATAGTGATGTTCCGTCTTTATGCATGAACAGCTTAAAAATATTAAGTAACGTCAATTTTATATACAGTATGAAAGTTATTCCTCATCTGAAGCATTATCTGGCGAGTATAAGCGGCTCAAAGCCGATGTGGGCGTAGCATTGTTTTGTAAAGAGGTCTGACAACCACGGCATACGACTATCAAACCAGTTGTCGTGTCGATCCCGCGTCGTCCTAATATTGCTCCATTCACGAGAACATCGAAACCAGAAAAAGTTTCTAACGATCGCCGAACATAGCCTATTTTAATTTAGAAAACGTTTCAAAATGATGATTTGCGATCAATATAGATTCTTACTAGTAAATCGTGAAAAA